TGTCCAGTCAACACAAGAAACTAACTGTCACTACAACGGAGCACTGACAGGTTGGTGAGATTATTAATAGGACTAATGTTTTCACTGTTGACTTTGTTGTACCTGCTTGTGTGTTCACTGCTCTAATGCTGTTCTCACACTGAGACTCATTTCAGAGGCCATGTGATTTCTTTCACACACACACACACACACACACACACACACACACACACACACGCACACACACACACACACACACACTTAACGCGTTCCTGAATGTAAACACATGAAAATATATATATATATTTTACTGTATGTACACCAAGAATATGCTATCTTTATAGGTTTTCTCCATGGTGTTGTTTTTATGTGAATGTATCACCATGCAAAGTTGAATCATATCAATAAATATGAAATATCAAGGTCTAAACTTCCTCCTTTTACTCTTTGATCGTGATCATAGGAATCATATATGCTGTTTGCCATGAGGTTTGAACATATGGCACGGTCACTGTACTAAAAATAAAAAAATATAGAAAGCACTACAAAAAACACAGGGTCAGGGGTTTCCCTGGGTTTATCTGGCTAAAAAGCCTGGTAACCCCTGGCTTTGGGTGAAGCTGGAAAAACTGCATTTTTCTCATAAAGAGTTTCACTTTTAGAGGAAACCTGCTGTGATGGGAACAGCAGGAGGACAATGTACAGCTCTGTCCATATGTCTCACATGGTCATTCCTTTGGTAACTGAAGGAGCATCCAGTGATATAGCATACTGCTGAACTAAAGAACACCACATCTTCCTGCACACAACCATATATTGTTGTAATAAATAAAAGGAGTGTCTGCACCTGGGTGTAAATAGCCACATTGGCTACCCAAATAACATTGTTGGCTACAGACACCCGGGTGCAAATAGCATCTGCCTGAAAAATCACTATTGCAATTCTCTGTGCTCTGTGCTGAACAGAGAGTGCTTTTTGCAGGATACAGCCTACTGTTTATGTGCATGTACTCACTTAAAACAATCAGAGTGTGGCCAATAATATAGTGAGTAGGTGGTGCTATTGGTATGTGTTAATTTTAGCTTTTTTTTTTTGTCACTGTTGGTATGGTAAAATCTAACTTAACTGTTGAACTGGCTATATGCTTTCTGATGAGCCATGTTTTGCTGTTTCAGTGGGTGCATCCATGTTTTAATATGGGTGCCCTCAGTAGGCAGGCACTGATCCCATACCTGGCAGTGTCCATGTCATGCTCCTCCCAGTGAGTTACTGTACACACTAGCTCAAAAGCTGCCCGCATGCTGTTTGAAAACTTTGCGTGGGATTTGTGTTGCGTGGGCGGGATGCGATCCAGACCTCTGCAGTATAGGAAAAAGAAGGTCACCTATGTGGGATGATGCCTGCCGGGCAGAGTAATTCAGCTGCACTTAAACTTAGCGAGAGCAATCAGGACACTGCTACTTCTTTTTGATATTTTGCATGTTAATATAACATTTGGTTCAAATTAAATGACATCTAAATTCTAAACACGTTTGAGTGACAATAATACGCCTATTTGGACAAATAGAGATTATACCCTGCAACTCAAGGGCGCCCTCTGAAGTTAATATTGCATCCTGCTCCTTATACAGGCCGAAATAGCTCAGTTGGGAGAGCGTTAGACTGAAGATCTAAAGGTCCCTGGTTCGATCCCGGGTTTCGGCAGGTTGTGGGTCCTCTTTTAATCCAAATGTAATTGATTTGCCTCATCACCAACACAGACATTGGTTACATTCAGGGTAAAGACATCAATTAGCTTTAAGAGATTATCACAGTAGCTTGTTAACCAAAAAACAGAGTCGATCCTCGTTATGAATGACCCCTCAAATTACTCAAAAATGACTCTAAATGCAACAAAATTCCCACTTTCTACAACCTTAGTTTTCATCAATTGTCCACTGCAAAAATATAGGAAACATTCATGCATCTTGTTCCACAGTGTGAAAATCAATTTATATAAAAACAAGAGCAAGAGAGACTGACATCAACACAGCAACATTAATAGCAAGAGAACAGAGTATTAAGCTTTAAGGACACATGTGCCGAGTCAGTCTTATTGGCAGAACTGTCAAACCAGCATCCTGTCACCAACATTATCAGATATGCACAAGATGTAGTGGAAGAGTTCATGTAAGGTATTTGCTGACAGAAACTGCTTTCTTCAAGGAGTTTAAAGAACTGATACACTAAGCAAAAATGCCTCTAAGGCTGAAGCTCACTGAAGCAGAGAGTCATAACTCCTAACTCCACCTGATGTCCAAAACTGGAAGTCAGTCAAGACCTGAGGGCAGAACACATGTGTATACAGACTCATGGTTATGCAGGTAAGTAACATCAAATCTGAAAATCTTGGCATGCTGGAGCAAGATGTCTGTGAAGATTGTCATTCAGGTCATGGTCATCCAAGAATAGTTGAATTGAGGGAAACTGGACATGGTGTACTCAAAGACATTTCACCTTTTATCTAAGAGGTTTCTTTAGTTCTGACTGACTGGTGGAGACCCAGGTATTTAGCCTCTTTTGGTGCCAATAGATTTTTTTGTTGACACAACTTTCACTGTTCGTTGTGGTTTGAATAAACAGAAAAA